CCCTTGTATGGTTGTAAATGTCAACCTGGATTCGTCGGAAACGGATTCGAATGTACAGGTGAGTCTGAGTCAGCCACTTATATGCAAAGCATTTTTAGATCAGCGCAAACGCTCAAATTATTTCTGCGCACCATTTCAACACAAATTTTGCTCAACAGTCTATTGATTTTCTCTACACTGCAAAAAAAATACTTCCAACGTTTCATGTGAAGCATTTGAATCACAACGTTAACTACCTTTGCAATTTCCGTTCCAAAACCATATTTGCGGTGTTCCATTCGAAGGATATACCACTTCAGTGGTCTTGGCCGGTGAAACGAATCAAAATTCGCCGAATATCGCGATAGAATTTCGGCTGAATGATGTTGACCGCTCGACTTGTTTTCAGACATTTGTCTCAACTTATGTGTGCATGGTGCAAAATGTATTAAGACGGCTCGTGGTGAGCCGAAGTGCATCTGCCGACCAGGATATCGGGGCAAACGATGTGAATTTGTGGTGTAGTTGTTGTGCTCACCGTTGGCTATCTTCTGCAGCATCTTCAGTTTGTAATTTAAACTCGCTAGCAGACAGTCTGCGTTTGCTTCCATCAATCTCCTTCCGAAGTCAGCTTGCATTAGCTGGGGACTCGAGCACGTTCGTCGCTCAACGTTGTTGTTGTTGTTGTTGTTTAGATAATATTACACCGAAATACTTTAAGATAACTTATGAAGCTCGACCAACTCCTCCAGTTACCATAAAGCAGTGGTTCTCATGTTCGGGTTCTCCGTTACCCGTTTTGATGGTCTGGCAGGCCACCGTTACCACTCCTTCAACCCTCCTCCCCTATCGAATATGGAAATCGCACAGTTATGTTCAGATGACCGTTACGTTCAATCTTACTAGCATGTCCATGATGGTAATCGACATCGCTGAGCCTTATCTTGTTAGACCGATGAGTTACTCACTATTGCAATCGAATATGATTGCATGAAAAGCTGTTGTCTATGACACGCTCATACACTTCAAACTGATTTTGATGAATTCTCATTCTTTTC